ATCCATCTTATCTATCAACTTATGATTAATAGATGAGCGACTTTGGAAAAAAAATATAAAACAAAGAAAGAAAACCTCTTAAGACAATATTTCCATTAACATAAGGAATTTACAGAATTAAAAAGAAATCCTGATTAGATTTGAACAATTTGTTGCTGTAGTTGTACGAAATACTGACAAAATAAACTAGTTTAGCTCCATAGGAAACCAATAGAAGTTAACAGACCAGAAGTTGTAAATCAAAATGTATTTCTGTCTAGATCAAAAATATGTGACTCAAATGAACATGAGGGATAGAGATATAGAGCTTAAGATAATAATAGTAGTAATAATTGAACTTTATTGATCTCAAAGTGGAGAAATTTGACCAGCATTTAACCCATCCCTTTACGGAGCAGTGGGCTGCCATTGTTTGGCACCCAGTGAGCAGTGAGGGGTTTAGGGTCATGCTCAGGGACCGAGGGTGCAGACTGTGGGGAATTTGGGTTATTCACTGGCTACTTGCATCCTTCTTAGAGCACTAGCTCTAACCACTAGGCCAACACTCCCCTCAATAAGATTGTCTTTTAATTTTAAGAAGTCTTTTAATCTATGTTCTTATTTGTTTGAAACCTAAAAGAAACGGAAGAAACATCATTTCACTATATGGTTTCCCTTTTTAAGATATTCATGTTTCCCTCAAAACAAGAATTTGGACCAAAAAAGAGCTTTATTTTATTATGAGGTGGATTTAGTAATAGAAGTAAAGCAGTTGTGACTTTAGAGTTGATACAAGTAGTTAATGGCTGCTGTTTTATCATTTTAAAATATGTCTTGTTTGGATGTTTTATGGGCAACTCATTTCCAAAGAAATAACAATAACTTCTGGTATTGCTTTGACTTTAAGGATGCAGAACGAGTGCGTCTGGATAAGGAGCGTCTGGCTGCCCGTCTGGAAGGCCACAAAGAAGGCATCGTGCAGACGGATCAGATCAGGTACTATGCCATATATGTTAATGTTTATATCTAAAAACATTAAGGGATTTACACCGAACTCAATAAATCAGATTCTTTGAAAACAGAGACCGTAAATCTTGTTCATCTTCATCCAGATCACTGTCTGAGGCCATGTCGGTGGAGAAAATCGCAGCCATCAAAGCCAAGATTATGGCCAAGAAACGTTCGACCATCAAAACGGATCTAGACGATGACATCACGCTGAAGCAGAGAAGCTTCGTGGATGCAGAGGTGGATGTCACCAGAGATATCGTCAGCAGGGAGAGAGTTTGGAGGACCAGGACGACGATCCTCCAGAGCACTGGAAAGGTCAGAACTAGGGCTGGGCAATTCATTGCATTTGCAATATAATAGCAAATTTAACAAAATGCAATTTTTCATATCGCACTTAATTTTGGTTGCATTAGATTTAACAAGAGACATACAAAAAAATGTGTCACTGCAGCTCTTTAGGGGGCAGTTATACAGTTAAAGTGGGTTTTCTGCTACATAGAAACGTTTAGAGAGTTGCAGCTAGCTTTCATTCCATGCACGCAAAAATCAAGCTTTGAAGGCTAGGTCTGGGCGATATGGCCTAAAAATAAAATATAAATTTTTTTATTATTCCAATTACAATTTTTTACAAATTCCGACTTTCCCCATACTTATTAACTTCCATCCGATCATCGGCGCTCCGTTGTGCATATTTACATTAAACACAGCCATACGCTTTAAATGGCACCGGTTAAACTTTTACCAATATAGACTTGTTATACAGTCTTAGAAAGCTTAGATTCTCCACAATTCAACCACCAAGTTAATTTTATGGAAATAATCAGCACCAAAGCACAATTGATAAAGATACAGCAGTGAATTAAATCAGAATTTTTAAAAATAAAGATTCGACTTCCTACCTTTGAAGTGATCCTCAGGCCGTATTATAGATCCAATCTTAAATTTGTTATTTTGCATTTGTCCGTAAGCTTCCACAGATAAAAGCTAATCTTAGCGTATTCGTAATGAAAACATTAAATGATGAGAAAAGTTTATTTATTACCATCAAAAAAGTCCCATCCTTATAACTAATGCTAACAGTTTTGCTAATTACCCTAGCTCCCACAAACATTTCCAGTTGATGTTTGGTATGTTTGTTTTCCTCACCTTCCAACTCAGGCTTCTAGCTGAGGTTTAGGGTTGATCATCCCAGAGAGACTGGCATTTTTCTTATTCTGCTTCATGCCTTGGTTTAAGATGCTGAAAAGGTTTGTAGTGCTGCTGCCTTCAAATGCGACTGCCTTTAGGCAAATGTTGCAGCGTGGGGTTTGTTGCTCCAGGTCTGTTGTAGTAAACCCAAATCCGTTCCAAACATAGGATGATTTTATTCCTTTTTTCTGGACCAATTTTCCACTTTCACCGGTAACATGAGACATCGCTGATTGGACGACGGCGCCGTTTGACCCTTGAACCGGAAGTCATTCTGCCTGCTGCGGCTTTTGAAAACATGGATATTGTCGGCGCCCCAAACATAGCTGCCGTTATCCAGGGATATTTTGAATCAGGACATACGTACGAGGTGATACTGGATATGCTCAAGACTAATCACGAAATTTCAGTTAGTTTGCGTACACTGAAGACACACTTAAAAGAAGCTGGACTGTTCAGACGATGCAACTTCCGGTTCAAGGGTCAAACGGCGCCATCATCCAATCAGTGATGTCTCATGTTTCCCACTGGTACCTACCTTTTCCGATAGGTTAATGTAATTGTGTTTTTCTTAATGTAGTTGCGCTTTTCTTTATGTAGTTTTGTTTTTCTTAATGTAGTTGAGCTTTGCTTTATGTAGTTGCGATTTCCTTAATGTAGTTGCACTTTTAGATTTGTAGTTGCAATTTGCACTTCAGGGCCACCGTAACTGTGGTAGCAATACTCCATCTACGGAAGATCCAGGAAGCCAAATTGCGGCGTTATACAAAAAAATCTATTTTTTAATCGCACACAACAACAAATTTGAATGAATTCATTGAATTAGGTCTACTTTCAAGCTTTCACAAAAAACTGAAACTCATTTATAAAACATCTACCAGCTTTTAGTTGGTGCAAAGGAAAATCGAAAAAACATTGCATTTGAAATATTAGTCAAAAATAATTGCAATTTTTATTTTTATCCAAATCATTCAGCTCTATTCAGAACCTACATTATGTCCCAACAAGATGAACCATCAAAGCATCTTCCTGAGAACCTTTAACCTCACATTCACCCCGGCAGCCATCATTGGATTACTGTTATCAGTAATTCATCTGAGAAATGTTTCCCTCCCTACTGGCTCCGTGTTTCTAGTTCTGCTCTTTAGCTTCAGGCCATGTTGACGTTGCTGCAGAAAACTCCCCAGGAGATTGGATTCTTCTAGAATCTAAGGGGCTTGCTGAATGAGAAACGCCAAATCAGAACTTAATGTTCTGTTAAATGGGGATTATGTAATATCCACACAGGGAGGTTGACAGCAGCTTCACATATGCTGCAGTGATAAATATCTGTTCCCGCCCACGCTGGGAGAAATGCTGCTGAGCAAAACCGTAGCAGAGCGGAGCCACGCTGAGAGGAGCTGCACAAATGGTCCAAAAAGTTCCTGTTCTGACCACTAGGTGGCTGCAGAGGTTTAAAATAGTGTAGTCTGGGTTTGATATTTTCCACATAATTTATTATTAAAATGCAGTATAAAAACTTTTCAATTGCAGCTTTTTTTCAGCATCATTAGTTTTATGTTTAACATTAAATGTCTCATTGGGATATTTTTTTTTCCTCACCCTTTTTTTTTCTTCAGTCTTAGAAAATCTGACATTTGATAAAATGGTTTTCTTATGTTTGGAAAGGAAAACCTTTTTCATAATTATCCAGACTTTTTTGTGTGGTATCTTTTAGTATATCTAAGCGATAAAACTCAGACTCTATAAAGGAATTAAACCTTATTTAACTTTAATGCTTTCGGTTTTTACTGGGGCTGAAGCAATTAATCAGTTTATTTCTTTCAACTGTATTTTGTGTTTTTTATAATACAAAAACCAAAGAAAAAACAAGAAGAAAAAACAAAGAACAAGCTGGGGGGAGACTACATTACCATATTTTCCAAAGTTTTTTTTTTTTTTCTTATGGTTGGGTTTTGACCTTGAACATAGACCACTTCTGCCATTTTTTCTCAAAGTGTCCTCCTTTAAGTCTCAGACGAAAAGTAAATTTTTCCATGGCGTATAGTTCGTCTAAAATATTTAGCCATTGTTCAAGCCCAGGTGGGTCACTTTTCAACCAATTCCTTGTCAATGCCTTTTTGGCAGCATCAGTAATATTTTGCAGAGGTAAATGTCT